TTAGGTTGATTCAGAGGAGCCCAAAGTTGRGGCCCGTGGGCCAAATTTTCCCCGCCAAGCAATTTGGTTTGGCCCACCAGCAGTTGACGTTGTTGTAACCTGTCGTCCTATGTAGAAAAAGTATTTCCTCTTTGTCATTTTATCCATTGGTCCAACGACTATATAAGTACAGATAGTTTTCACTCATGGTTCTGACTTTATCTTTGATGTATTAAGATTAAATATGAAACGTGAAATACAAGTAAAAAGTGATATTTAGATTAGATTTAACCCCACGTGTATTTGCACACTTTATAAGGCCAGAAAAACTCATATTTTATCAATTTATGAAATTTCCCATGAGCCTTTGCTACTTGAGCATATGGCAGACTTTCTCCAAGTGTCCAGACTTAAACAAAAGCAGGCCACCACACTAGCTGCTAGCTTAATAGTTGCAAAATGAAGAACTTAACTAAAATAGTATTTGTATTTCATGTATTGTATTGCTGCATTTGGCCCGCAGCCCCGGATAGATTCTCATTTTGGCCCTCTTGGGGAAAATATTTGGGCCCCCCTGGGTTAATTGGTAACTATAAATTGTCCCTATAGGTGTGAGTGAGAGAGTGGTTGTTTATCTTGTTTGTCTCTATGTGTGGCCCTGTGATGGACTTGTGACGTGTCCAGGTTGTACCCCGCCCCTCGCACTGTAACTGCTGGATATGGGCACCAGTGACCACGTGACCCTGAAAGGAAAAAGCGGGTATAGATAATGGATGGACGTTTCAAATGTGTACAAATACTCCAGTAGAATAACTCTTAAATGGTCCACCTTTCTCACTGTTTACCCAAGATCAACTTTCTTCATCTGATCTGTCTGTTGATCATCCGTCCAAACGTATTTTGCTCAGTCTCAAATGGCAGTTTTTATGTTCCAAAAATTTGTAGTCTGTAGGGTCAGGATAAGTCTTTGGTTAAGTTAACTAGAAACATATTTTCCTCATTCCTAGTTTTGTTCAATCTCCATCTCCATCTTCTTCTGCTTATCCACAGTCGGGCAGCAAAGGCAACAGGCCTAGGAGAGAAACCCAGACCTCCCTCTCACCAGCGACACTTTCCAGCTCGTCCTGGAGGACCCCGAGGTGTTCCCAGGCCAGAGAGGATGCACAATCCCTCCAGTGAGTCCTGAGTCTTCCCCAGGGGCCTCCTTCCAGTGGAACACTTTTAAAGGGAGGCGTCCAGGAGGCAAATGCTCAAACCACCTCAAACTCTTTTAGTTTTGTTTAAAGAAATTAGAATTTAGTGACAAAAAATTTTTAGCCTGTGGAACTTTGAAGGCTAAAGTTTCAAGAATAAAACTGTAAATTCCTATAAAAATGACTGTATTATTATTATTATTATTAGTTTGCATCAGTTTGGTTAAAGTGACAAGCCAGCCTTATCAATTGGTGGTAAATGCTTACAGATTAATTGACACTACAGTAAAACCATCAACAGCATCAGTCTCTCTCCTTGTTACTGTCAGTGAGACAGAACCTTATTCTTATCTTGTGCCTGCATTCTTAATTACACACRTCTTAAAACATTAATCACTGCAGGAATGTTCTGGTCTTGTTGGTCGTACTCTGAACAACTTGTGCATTTAATTACGGTTGTATGATTCACTTGAGCAAAACTCATCAGAACATTCTTTACAAGCAATGCCAATTAGGCAATTGTGGTTCTTCCTAATGGATTTTTTGTCAACTCTTTAGCAGCGCCGAAAGATCAAGCTTATCTGTGTTTTGGGTAATTATTTGATTCCACAGGTAAGGGAGTTCATCAACATTTTCTGTATTAATTTAATTAATTTATACAGACTGTTGGCTTGCGGTTGACAATGCGAACGCACTAACGAACATCATAGATCAAAGCATTTTGCTTGTTATCAAGTGACCTTCCCATACATGCCTTGCAGGCAGTTTTTCTGGATTTGCAAAGCCAGAGCAGGGGAAAAAAATAAATAAAACTTGTCACCCGTTTAAAACAGGTTTTGGCTTTATTGCACTAAAATCTGACCCTTATGCTGAAAACATTAAAAAATGTTTAACAAGTGATGCGGGCATGCCTGTTCTTGTCGCAACATAATCAATCTAACTTAGCAACGGGATGTTTTTTTCAGCCCAAATCTTCCGTCGCTTGTGACCTGCTCGCTATCAAAATAACTGCCGCTTTTCAAATAAACTTGGTGCACAAGTCCAGACCTGGTGTTTCTCAGAGTGACAGACAGAAGCCGTCCTCATAAAAATGTCTGATTTCCTGTTTTAAGAACGATAAGATGAATAAAATGACGAGGTGTGATGGATGTTGGCATTTTAAGTCTTCATATTTTTTTTTATTTGTTTAATTAACTCTAGTTTCAATACAGTGAATGTGGATGAGTTCATTCTTGCTAAATGCTAAATGCTAACTTTAACTTGCTAATTTTCGGTTCCAGTTTCTGTTTATTATTTTAGCTACTGCTTTGTTACATTTAACTTTTAGTTATGCTTTTTTACAGAAAATGTGTTTTCTAGTCGTAATTATTATTATTATTTTTTATAGATTTGTAATTGACACTTTCTTGTTTGTTTCATCCAGTTTACTTTGACGTCAATAGTGGAACAAAAGAAGGAAAATTTATTATTTTTATTTTTTTTTTATTATCCGGCCAGTTTCTGTTTACAACACTGCCAAAATTGAACCAATTGAACTCCCATTTGGCAGCCTCAAAGGCCTGCCGGTGGAGCAACCTGGCAGCAATCTCAACAGGTTGCTCCACCTTGGTTTTAGGTTATTGTGCAAAACATAATACTACTGCGCACACGCCTACTTTGTCACCTAAACGTTTGTGCTGGCCAAAAGAAACAAGATAGGGCTGCAAAAACAAACTCGCGCGTGCGTTTCGCTAGCAGTGTCACTCAAATGCATGTTCGCACATAAACTATTTATACACTAAGAGGGACGTAGGGAGCATTTTCACTTGGACCAGTGCACCGAAGAATGAGCTGTGGGTGATAAACTCAGCACGCAGATGATGCAGATGATGCATATTGTAGAGAGAAGCTGTATGTTTGGATAAAAAAAAACGGCATGACTCTGGAAAAGCACTTTTTTATTTCACATCTGTTTACTTTGAAAGAGTATCTCTTGTGTTCTTACACATGACGGTGACTTCATCACTTCCCTCTGGGGCACAGAATATATAAGTGAGTCAGGACACTCAACAGGATTTCACTCTGCACGCGAGCAGTAACTGCTGAGGGAGGGTCACATTTGACCACAGATTTGTACTTTTTATCTGGTCTTCATCAGAAGTGGGTAGGAACTACTCTACAACATTTACTGGGGTCACTTTTTTTGGTGAGGAATGTACTTTCATGGGTAGTTTTACTACATTGTACTTTTTATTTTGCTTGAGTAATGGTATTATGAAGTGTCACTACTCTGAGTAAAATTTCTAAATGCWCTACTTGCCGTCAGTAACTTCCCAGAACGAATAAACATGTTTTAACCAGAAATGCACCAGAGACACATAAACTTACAGTTTATATTGAAGTGAGACCTCTTGTTTATACACAAGCTTTGTTGTTCTAATGATCTTTCTTATCCTGCTGAGACAATTGAGGTCAAGTGAATTTGTGGTAAACAGTAATAGTCACCGGGCGTACTTTGCATGTTCTGTAATAT